GCCCTCAGTCTCACACACACACACCCCAGCCCTCAGTCACACACACACACACCCCAGCCCTCAGTCACACTATTCCTTCCCTAGATTGTAGTTAATAGTGTTCAATCTACTTCAGTAACTTAGATTTCATTTTAAGTGGTGGGAAATTTCAGACAGCATTTTCTCCCCCAGAAATATGACGCAAAATCTTCTCCTGTTATAGTAGCAATGAGAATTTGAGTGCTTTGATAAATCTTTTCCTACCTGGATGGAATTTCTGACGTTGACACTTAGTTGACACCGACACTAATTGCCGTGGGAGCCAGATGGCATTGCAGAACTTTAGGTGACTGGATGCCAGTGGTTCTGGCAGTCAGACAGCTGCGTTCTTGGCGTTTCTCCACTTTCACACTTCTTTCTGACATGTTGGCCTGCAAAGAGACCCATCGTGGAATAAGTGTTCTTATTAAACTAAGGCTTCCAGTAACAGTCACACTATGTCAGGCTTTACAACTGTCATTAGATGATTATCCAAGAGGAATCAACTTTACTAAAGTCATCTGCGTTTAGCAAGTCTTTCCCCTAAAGAGAAATGATGTGTAACTCCAGAATAATTCTTGCCCATTGGATCAGACTTTTCCTCTTCTTTGTTGGCGTCCATAGATCTACTAAAAATCACCAACTTGAGGATCAAGTTTGTGAAGCTGCATACTTTGGGAGATAACCTTTTGGATTCCAGAATGGAAATCAGAGAGAAGTACTATTATGCGGTGTATGACATGGTGGTTCGAGGAAACTGCTTCTGCTACGGCCATGCCAGTGAATGTGCCCCTGTGCACGGATTCGATGAAGAAGTGGAAGGAATGGTGAGCCAACTTCTCTTGTGGCTTTCTCCTAGATGTGTGTGATTCTGAAAGCAAGCTGAGGCTTTTCACAGCTTCCCCGCCCCCCTTTGGCCAGGGATTGGCTCTCCAGACTTAGATTTAGCCCTTGCACCATATTGGTGGTTGATTGCTGAATTTCTCTTTGAAGAGTCTTAAACTATGAGAATATACAGATTGTTCATTTCATAGAATTATTTTTGTACTTAGTTGCTGTAGGCTATTGCTAAAGTAGATATTTTAGTCACTAAGGATTAAGAAGTTGTCTAAATAACAATTGAGTCTGCCTTTATGTTAGGGAAGATTAAAAAACCACAGGTATTCAGTCTTTACGCTAGAAAGAGAAAATTGATCCTAGTCCAAAGAAACTGGAAATTTTAACCCAGGACCTTGTGATATCATTTAGCGAACAAATGGAGGATTTTTTCTGTCTTTTCCTATTGATTTCATTCCTTTCTCACTTTTATTCTGTGTTTGCAAACTACATTGTAAAACTTATCATCAGTTGTTGGAGGGTTTCAATTCACAAATGTCAACTTATGAGTATAGTGCATCTTGCTCAATGTCACCTTCTCCATCATTCTTTCCTATTGCCCCCAACCCTAGCCATCTCCTCAAATTCCTGATTCCATTTTCACACATAGAAATTACATAAATTTTTATTAGGGGATATGAATGATCTGTCAAATGGCTAGAAAACAATAGCTTATTCTGCCCTAACTTAAATTACGTGGTTTCCAGTTGTTTCTTACAGATGTCTGATTTTCAGGCCAGACAGGAAATTAGTGCAGGAAGAGCTCCTACTCTGTCGAGGGGAAGACTAAGGAATAAGTCCTTTGCTAAAACACCCTGAGTGTCTGGGTGGTGAGGCTGAGAGCTGAGGATTTCAGTTTGAAGCCAGCTGGAGTAAGGAAGTCCATGAGACTCTTATCTCCAATGAAGCACCAGAAAGCTGGAAGTGACGCTGTGGCTCCAAGTGGTAGAGTGCTAACCTCGAGCAAAAAAAAGCTTAGGGACAGTGCCCAGGCCCTGAGTTCAAGCCCCAGGATTGACAAAAAAGAAGCCCTGAGTGAGGAGCCTTGCCACTGGACTCCTTCCACTGGTGATGGGTGTGCCTTGCTATGTTTCTGTCAGTCAGCCCTTCTAAAACTCCTGCCTCTCCTTTATTCTGGTTAGAAGTTTCCTGCAAACAAGGGAGATATTTCTCAGAGTTCAAAGAGAGGGCTATGCCTCTCATCTCATGTCTCCATCTTTCTAAGAATGCTGGTATTTACTTTGCATCGTTCCCATCTGTGTAGTTGATGTCATGACTGTGTGTCAGAGTTGGTTGCTCCACTTATTCAGATGCCACAGTCTGCAATGTGGGCTTTGGAGCTGTTTTTTGGTTTATATACAACCAAGGAGAGGATTGTAATCTGGAATTAACTACACTTTGGTCAATACTGGTGTAAAAGAGGAGGGGCCTGTTGGTCCTGTTCCTGAGTTCTGTTCTGTAGAAAGCAGAAGTAAGGTAACATGTTTGTGGGCATGTGTGGTGGAGAGATGTATTTCTCTCATTTATTGTCAGCATGTCTTTCAGGGAAATCCTTGAAATAGTGTATCTTGGATCTATTGAAAAGCAGAATTAAGGTAACATGTTTGTGGGCATGTGTGGTGGAGAGATGTATTTCTCTCGTTTATTGTAAGCATGTCTTTCAGGGAAATGCTTGAAATAATGTATCTTGGATCTATTGAAAAGCAAATTAGGGCTGGGAAGGTGGCTCAGTGGTAGAGCGCTTGCCTTGCATGTATGAGGCCCTGGGTTCGATTCCTCAGCACCACATAAACAGAAAAAGCCAGAAGTGGTGCTGTGGCTTAAATGGTAGAGTGCTAGCCTTGAGCTGAAGAGCTGAGGGACAGCGCCCAGGCCCAGAGTTCAGGCCCCACAACCGGATCCCTCCTCCCCTCCAAAAACAAATTAATTTTTATCTTTTTCTGAAATTTTTATGTTTTCTCACTTAAAGGCAAAAAAAAAGATTGTTTTTAAGGTTTTATTTGGGTTGAAAAAGTTTTTTCCAGGCTAGGAATATAACTCGGTGGTAGAGCATTTGCCTGTCATATGTGGATCACTCGTTTCAGTCCCGAGTACTGAGCAGAAAAGTAAAATAAAACTATTATGCCTGAAGTAAAAATAAAAGTAGAAAGAAAACCAACTTTGAAAAGAAATGGTTATCTGGCCTACTAAGATTTGCAGTAATATTTTCCAGGTGTATGTATGCATTTGATTCTCCATTACAACTTTTATAGATCTCTATTATGGTAATTTAAAACAATCCTAAGTAATTAGGCTCCTCCCTTTTTATATTATCTTCAAATAGTTGTACAGTAAGATTTCAGTTTAAGATGTCCATGTTTGTGTACAATTCATTTTGGTCAGTGTTAACCTTCCCATCATTTTACTAATTTTTTTGTTTTTGTATTTTTAGTAGCTATTTTTATGTATTTTCTCATAGCTTCTCAATAAAATGCTTCTTGAGCATTCATTATGTGATAAGATCTATGTAGAAAGTGGGGTTGTAGCCATCAGCAATGTGGCTAGAACTTGTGAGGGAGGGAACAGACGAAAACAAAGAGCCCTCTCTGGGTGAGCTATAGATGAGTAGGTGAAAGGGACTGGACTTGCCGTTCCATTCAAGAATCTCTTTCTTCATTGTTTCTGCTTTTGTAACCCTCAAGGTACACGGACACTGCATGTGCAGGCATAACACTAAGGGTTTGAACTGTGAACAGTGCATGGATTTCTACCACGATTTACCTTGGAGACCTGCTGAAGGCCGAAACAGCAATGCCTGTAAAAGTAAGTCTTTGTGGCGAGGACATTTGGAATCCATGAGGACTCCAGTATCCATTTTCAGATTATAGGTGCTCTAATAGGGTTCTAGTTGCCGAGGAGAGAGAAGTCCCTCTCCTTTTCCCTCCTTGATCCCTGTACCCCTGGGATACCAACAGTAAACCTCTAATTAACACTAACATGAATAGCTATTGGGCAATGCCTGCATGGGTGGCACTGACCCAGGAACACTGAAACACTGACAGTGTTTTTAAGATAAGCTGGTACTAGGAAAAGGGAAAGGGAAATCCCACACCATGTGTCAGTAAGGTCTAATGGTTATGGAGTAGCGTCGTTGGCTTTGTTTCCAACACCCAACCAGGTGTGGCCTCTGGCACCGGGACATCTCCGTCTTCCTCCCAGTGCTATTCTGGGCAGAGAAGTGCAGTAGTGTGCATCACCCGCTCTCCCTCCTGGCTCGCAGCAACCTCATACACCTGCCTCTCCTTGAGGAGCACACCTCCCTCTGCCTCCAGTCAGACCGTTCTTCAAGCTCAGAACCCAGTGAGAGCTGGAGTGGTAAAGGTTTTGTTAGCAGATGGGACCAGATGGCTTACATGGGTGTTTCAGGTGACCTAGGAAGAGGGAGGGAGGTGGGGAGACATTGAAGATGCCCCAGTGAACAAGGTGAGTCCCTCTGCAGGACAGTGTGTGGTAGAGTTCACATGAGGAAGGGGATAGTCAAGGCCGAGGTAAGGAATTGGTGTTCGTCCCTGAGTAGAAGGGCAAGGTGATTAAAGCTAGGTTAGACAAACATGACTCTACTGAAAAGCTACAGGGCCTTCCTGAGAGGGCCCGTTGGATGGCTGTAAAACAGATCCCCAAAGAGCCTGCACTAGCATGGCGAGGAAAGTGGGAGAAGAGCAATTGATCCTTCACGTACATCATAGCTTCATGCCTAAACAGGCTTCCCTGGGAATGTCTCACCCACACTGGCCTGTGGAATAAGGGAAAGTACTTCTGTGAGTCTTACCCACAGTGAAATAGTATGAGTCATTTTTGTTGTCACTGGGGTAAAATATCTGAGCAAATCCACCCAAAGGAGGAACAGTTTATTTCATAGGCTTCAGTTCACGATCACTTGGCTCCATGGCTTTTAGGCCTGTGGTAAGGCACCCACATCTGGCGGAAGGTCATGTTAGAAGAAAGCTGCTCACACAATGAGGGTGGGAAAGATGAAGAGGAAGGGTTAGGGAACAAAGTATACCTTTCAAAGTCCCACCTCCAGTGACTTACTTCCTCCAACTAGGCCCTACCTCCTAATTTCTACCACCTCCCAACCATGCTGCCAAGTTCTGAATCCATCAGTGGATTAATTCACAGATGAGATGAGAGCTTGCATGCTGTAGTATCAATCTTCATGATCCTCATTTCTAAACCTCAACACCTCATGATACTACTTTGTTTTTGCCAGTCCTAGGGCTTGGGCTCAGGGCCTGGGCACTATCCCTGAGGTGCTTCTGCTCAAGGCTAGCGCTCTACCACTTGAGCCACAGCACCACTTCTGGCTTTTTCTGTTTCTGTGGTACTGAGGAATTGAACCCAGGGCTTCATGCATGCTACGCCACATTCCCAGCCTTTGATGCTACATTTTTAAAGGAACTCTTTCCCAAGAGTTTGCCCTTCTTAGTAGTTCATTCTCTTCCACAGATGGTTGTTTGTATTTCATAGAGTCCACGTTTTTAGTTTCCAAGCTGATACTGGACTTAAACCAGTATCCTCAGTGGATGTGTTCGTGTTGATGCTCTTCTGCCTGCACTGAGACCCTAGTTTGCTCATTGCTTCCTTCCTTACAAGCCTTCTCCAATGGTCACTTTGAAATTGGTCTTGTCAAACAGAGTGCAACTGCAATGAACATTCCAGCTCATGCCACTTTGACATGGCGGTTTTCCTGGCCACTGGGAATGTCAGTGGAGGCGTGTGTGATGACTGTCAGCATAACACCATGGGGCGCAACTGCGAGCAGTGCAAGCCGTTCTACTACCAGCACCCGGAGAGGGACATCCGAGACCCCAATCTCTGTGAACGTAGGTTGGGAAATGTGTCGTGTGTGGGACCCACTTCCGGCTGACTTTCACCTGGGCTAGTCTGGCCAAGATTCTTCTCGGAGCTTACCGTAGGAGCAGCAGAAGACTGTTGTCAGAATCTGCTAGGATGCTGGGAGGGGGATGTTCTTGCTAGTGGGGCCCCCTTGTGATTCATTTTTGTGAGATTCGGAGGGTGGAAGGCACATACGTGTACGTAAACACAGTGTGTTTCCTGGTGCATTTAACTTGTCGTTTTTCTTCCTAAGGATGTTCATGTGACCCGGCTGGCTCTCAGAACGGGGGCATCTGTGACGGTTACACCGACTTTTCGGCTGGGCTCATTGCCGGCCAGTGTCGGTGTAAGTTGTATGTGGAAGGAGAACACTGTGATGTGTGCAAAGAAGGCTTCTATGACTTAAGTGCCGAAGATCCATTCGGGTGTAAATGTAAGTCTGTGTGGATCCACACTTGGCATTGAATTCTCTGAACAGAATTCGTTTCACGGGACTCACTTTGGTTTGTGTTCCTTTGCTTCATTTTGTCTTAAATAAAGCTTGTGCTTGCAACCCCCTGGGAACAATTCCTGGTGGGAATCCTTGTGACTCCGAGACTGGCTACTGCTACTGCAAGCGTCTGGTGACGGGACAGCGCTGTGACCAGTGTCTGGTAGGTAAATCCTAACCGTGGGCGCATGAGCAGTTGTGGAATGTGACAGATTGAGCATGCTTTCCACCATCACCATGGGGGTTGAGATGAACAGCCATAAGAAAATTCACCAAATAGGAATTACTGAGTCAGTGGCTCATGCCTGGAACCCTAGCTGCTCAGGAGTCTTGAGGTCTGAGGATCGTGGTTCAAAGCCAGCCCCAGCAGGAAAGTTTGTGGGACTCTTATCTCCAATAAATTCCTAAGAAAAAGCCGGAAGTGGTGCTGTGGCTCAAGTGGTAGAGCACTAGCCTTGAGCACAAAGAGTCTCAGGGTCAGCTTCCAGGCCCCAAGTTCAAGCCCTAGGACCAGCACCAGAAAGAAAGAAAGAATTACTGATGACTGCATTGACAAGACATTAAATATTAGGATTATAAAATCACAACAAAATACCACTTTTACAGACAAATTTACAACAGTTCCTTTTTAAAATGAGAGTCATTTGGACACACAGAGATAGAAACACCTGTTTGCTAACAGACGTGGAGATTGTTCATATTCCTCAAAGTATATAGGCATGTCTCAATGGCTGGTAGACATGTACAGGGCCTCCCTCCCCCGAGCCAGTGATCCCACTTCTGGACAAAGATGGGCTCTTCAAAAGACTTTCTTTTTTTTTTGTTTTCATGGAAGAGGATTCACAGAAGTAATAATGGGAAAATAGCTAAATTTGGAGGCTTGCAATCATAAAAGCAACTTGGCTGCTTTTGAAAAACGGTACTGATAGGAAATACCGTTAAATTTATGTACACATACACACAGTATGTAAATGTTATGTAGAGGAAAAGTCAGAAAGATAAAATGTGGAAAGAAATACGTCAAAAATTTCACTGTTAATGACTGGTTGGAGTAATTTGCTAGAGATGGATCTGGAGCCTCACACATACTAGGCAGTGCTCGCCCACTCAGCTACAGCTGTAGACCTGCGTGGAATAATGAAGAGGATGATTAAAATTATTATGAATCTTCTAGGGAATTCTCATTGCTTTTATAATCTGGAAGGAGCTACTGACCACATACATACTTACAACTATAAATGTATTTGTGTAGGATCCTGGTAGATTCTCAAAATAGACCTCTGAGAGTCCATTTTATATTTGTGAGCCTGTTTTTATCTATTCATTTTTGAAGTACAGAGATTTTCTTCTCTATCTCTCTCTCTCTCTTTAAATTTCCAAGACCCTTTACCTTTTAGTCTTAGCTCTGGGCTGTGTTTCCACATAGCATAAGTGAGTCCTCATAGGGCTTTCCTCAGGGGATTTGACAGACAGAACTGAAGGAAAAGTTGAAGCCCTGCCAAAATTTTGCTGTAACGCTTACCTGCCAGAGTATTCTGACTGAAGAAAATGGTACCCATATTGCAGGCTCACATTCATTGTAATCTGTGGTCTGTTGTTAACAGGTGAATACCCCGCACCCTCTTACTTACTTCAGCAACCTGCAGCTCCGACGTATTTTAATTTAAAATAGTCCTTCCTTTTGTGGGCTTTGAGCTTTCTCAGTGAAAATAAACATTCACATTCGGCAGACCAACCAAAGCATGCTACAACTTGTTCCCTGCTTGCGTCTTGTGTAATTACAGGAACCTACCTTTAGATGTTAAATCTTTTGTTCTGCAGCCACAGCACTGGGGCCTGAGTAACGATTTGGACGGGTGTCGGCCTTGTGACTGTGACCTCGGGGGAGCCCTCAACAATAGGTGAGTTGGAGCTTCAGTGATGCTGCTTTAGCCAGACTCAGAGGAAAGTCAGTCTTTACCTTTGGCTTGAATATCTGATGATCTGAGTGTGCTTTAAAAGCTTCCAGTATATCTTTTCCTTTCTTCTTTCCTGGTACTGGGTTTTGAACGCTGGCCTCCTGCTTGTTCAGTTGAGCTATACCTCCAGCTTAATATTTTCTCAGTTAATTGGAGAAGACTCAGATTTTGTTTTCTACCCAGGCTAGGTTTGAACCCTGATCCTCCATGTCTCAGCCTTCTGACTAGCTAGGATTAAAGCTATGAGCCACTTGCATCCAATTGTATTTTTTTATTCTTATGGTGTTGCTAATTGTTTCTGTACTTTAACTTTCTTGGTATTTTTTTTAAATTATGGAAGCCATATAGGCCCATAATTTTTTTGGGGGGGTCCAGTCGTGGGGCCTGAACTCTGGGCCTGAGTGCTGTCCCTCAGCTCTTCAGCTCAAGGCTAGCGCGCTACCACTTGAGCCACAGCGCCATTTCCAGCTTTCTTCTTTTTGCTTATGTGGTACTGAGGAATCGAACCCAGGGCCTCAGGCATGCAAGGCAAGCATTCTACCACTGAGCCAACTTCCCAGCCCTAGGCCCATAATTTTTGAAAAGCAATTTTGACAGTTCAGGCAGGTATAAAGTCCGAAGCAGAGGTGTTTCTTTTTCTGTTCTCTGTCTCCTAAATTTCTTCTTTGAACAACTTAGCTGTGGCACCGTCAGTAGCTTCTTGTTTGTCTCTAATTAACAACAGTTCAATCTGTCTGTTGAGAGTGAATATTTTATTCTCATTTCTTTTTAAATGTTCGGTTTTATTTATCAATTTATTAACAGACAAGTTCAAAAAAAAACAGTTCATGGTTTTCCACTGATCTTTACTCTCATATTTTTTGTTCCGTTTTGTTTTGGGTCCGGTCGTGGGGCCTGAACTCTGGGCCTGGGCACTGTCCCTTAGCTCTTCAGCTCAAGGCTAGCACTCTACCACTTGAGCCACAGCACCACTTCCAGCTTTTTTTTCTGCTTATGTGGTGCTGAGGAATCGAACCCAGGGCCTCAAGCATGTAAGGCAAGTGCTCTCTCACTGAGCCACCTTCCCAGCCCTACTCTCATGTTTTTAAAAGATATAAGTGAAGGGCCAGGCATAGAGGCTCATGCCTATAATCCCAGCTACTTGAGAGATCTGGAGGATCATGATTCAACGCCACCTAGGGCATAAAATTTACCAAGACCCCATCTCAACCAATAAGCTGGGCATGGTGGCTTGTGTCGGAGATCCTAACAGCTTTGGAGACCATAGGTAGGAGGATCTACGTCCAAGGTTTGCTCTGCACAAAAAATGTTATCTCCTATCTGAAGAATAATTAAAGTAAAACAGGGTTGGGAGCACAGTTCAAGTAGAATCCTGTATATCAAGTGCAAGGTTCTAAGTTGAAACCCCAGTATTGCTTTTCAAAGAAACAAAGGAATAAGCTGGGCACTGGTGGTTCACACCTGTAATCCTAGCTACTCAGGAGGCTGAGATCTGAGGATCATGGCTCAAAGCCAGCTCCAATAAACCACCAGAAAACTGGAAGTGGTCCTGTGGGTCAAGTGGTAGAGCGCCTTGAGCTGAGAAGCTGAGGGACAGCGCCCAGGCCCAGAGTTCAAGCCCTGCGACCAACAAAAAAAAAGAAAGAAAAAGAAAAAAGAAAGTAAGAAAGAAAGGAAGGAAGGAAGGAAAGGAATATCTATATCTATCTTATCTATCTATACACACATTCATATATTTAGAGAGAGATAATAGATGTATAGATATAAAATTTTATTGTACTCTAGTAGCTCATGCGTATAACATAACTACTCAAAAGGCTGAGATGTGATAATTATGATTTGAAACCAACTCAGGAAGACAGATCTGAGAGATTTATCTCCAATTAACTAGCAAAAAGCCAAAAGTGGAGGTGTGGCCCAAGTGGTAGAGTGCCAGCCATGAGCAGGAAAGAAAGATATCTTATTCTGGAACATACTCTCTTATTAGCTTGTGTTCCTCTCTTTCACTTTAGTAGTGTTTTGGTATTCTTTCATGTGAAAGTGTCATGATTTATTTGATTGTTTTTATGTTTTTTGCTTTTTAAAAATGTTGTTGTGTGCATCCTGGTAGCTGTTTCTTTTTTTTTTTTTTTTTGGTCCAGTCATGGGGCCTGAACTCTGGGCCTGAGCACTGTCCCTCAGCTCTTCAGCTCAAGGCTAGC